GCAATGACTGCCCATCGTGTGTCGCATTTTACTATGTTTCTTGCAGAGTGCACAGGGGATCCGCACGCACTGTGGCGGCAACTCAACCAGGGGGCAAAACCTGATTGCACAATATGTGACGTCGACAGCTGGTGTGACTATTTTGATGCACTGTACAACGATGAGATCAACACTTCTAACGAGGTTAGAGCGGATTGCATGATGAACCTCGTCAATGGGTGCTCACTTACGGCTGGGCTGGTGAGAGCTGTTTAGCCCAAAATCAGAGAGCCGCTGCTGCGGCAGCCCTCAGTGCCCCATTTACCTTGGCAGAGGTCATCACTGCGCAAAAAATGCTGGGCAACAAGAAATCCCCAGGACTTGAAAGGGCCCCTGCTGAGTGCGATAAGTATGCCACCAGGAAGGTGGGAGAAAAGGAAGAGCTGGTGCTTGCACAGTATCTGCTGTGTCCATTGGGAGTCTGGTCGACTGGGGACTACCCAAGGCAGTTCAAGGTATCCACCCTCACACCCATCCACAAGAAGGGTGACATCATGGATCCTAGAAACTACCGGGGGCTTGCCGTTCGTGGGGCTTTGTCTAATCTTTACGCGTTATTGCTTGATCGGAGGCTAAAGGCCTGCTGGGAACATTGTGGTGCTCAGAGCCCTTATCAGGGTGGCTTTCGGCCATGGCGCGGCACCACTCAGAATTTGTTCTTGGTGCGACACCTCACAGACCGATGCCGTAAGGATTTTGTTAATGTCCCGGCACAAGCGTTGTTTGTATGCCAGATTGATTTTGAGAAAGCATTTGACCGGGTTAATCGAGAGCTGCTCTGGGTTAGACTTGAGGAATGAGGAGTCACGGGGTAGGCGTTAGATGTCATCAAGTGCTGCTATAATCGGGTGGAAATGCGAGTCCAGGTTAATGGAGCAAAAGGAGAGGCGTCTCCCTCCATCCAAGGGGTCAAGCAGGGTTGCCCAATGAGCCCCACGCTCTTCCGGTTTTTTTGTTGAAGGTTTTGCAGATACATTTGATGCCCTAGAGGTCGCATTTCCTGACGCCATGGCGGCACATGACACCCCTAGCGTGAAAGAACGTCGAGTGCCCCGAACCCTCTACACTGATGACCTGAGCCTATTTGTGATGTAATTGAGATGGTTGACGAGCTTACTACGGGCACTGCGGGAGTGGTCAGAGGCTTTCGGTCTCAGTGTCAACGTGCAAAAGTGTGCGTTGTTGTTTTTTCATTCCAATGGCCAGGTTAGAAGGCAGGTCTATGCTCTCAGCCGATATAACCTTGGTCACCATGCGCGCATTTGAAGAGGGGTTACCGATGTTCCGTCCGGTCACTTGGAAAACACGCGCCCGTTATCTGGGGCTGCACTTCGGACCAGACTCGGGTTTTGCGTCTTGCACGGATGAGCTGTTCTCGGCTGGCCAACGGGCCATGTTTGCTCTGCGCAACAAGCTGCGCCGGCAGGGTCTGCTGCTACCTAGCGTCGGCATGAAGTGTTTCAATGCGCAAATTCGTTCTGTCTTATCGTACGGCTTGCAGGTGTGGGGGGCTGACCAGGAAAAGGGCTATCCGGCTAACGAGGCACCGCGGTCATGCTATTTCGATGTGGCCATACGAGACCGAATGGTCAAGCTCCAAATCTTTTTCATGAAAGAATTGGTAGGGACTCCTGTACCACCCCTCCAGGTTTTGTTTCTGGAGCTAGGTCAGATGATGCTACAACTGCACTGGGCTGAATCCGTATTTCGCTTCTGGAATAGCTTGGTGGAGGACACTAGTAGCGTATACCACAGCGCCTTTCGTCAGGAAATTCGTTTGGCGTTGGTAACGAATTTGCAGTTTGATGGTTGGGGATCCAAAGTCATTTGTATCCTTAACCACTTAGAGCATGACTGGGGTGAAGGAGAAAGCAGTCGGGGGAAGCATTGATATGAGGGTTAGATGTTACTCGGCCTGCAAGCTTGATGTTGAAGCGCTGATGGACACCCTTAGGGCACGGTCAACGACGACG